AATATAAAACTGGCCTTTACAAAGTGACCTGTCTTGGCTGTGTTTTAGTGGACTAGTATTTTGTAAAATACAGTCACATTTCAGTTTTAATATATTATTACTATTTAAAATAAATTCATAAATTTCAGTCATTTTTCTTAAAACATAGAACAGTAAATAAAGAACTATAGAAAATAATTATCTCTTCTAGTTATGAACTTTGAACTCATTTGCTGCTTGCCGTAGGTTGCTAAGCCTTATCGAATTGTTTTAGGTTTTATATACATACATTTTGAAATAACCAAAAATCATAAAGTACTATATCAATATCATAGAATTCCACGATAATTTATCAAGCTAAGTAACTAAGCTGTATTTGGGTCTAAAAGATATGAAATTTTGAGCTCACTAAAGACTACCTTATCTGCCATGTAAAAGAAAAGGTTTCCCATGTAAGTACTTTGGAAAGGCTCAGAATGTCCACCATTCTGAGCTTTCAAATGGCTATTCACACATTGTAGACAGAAGTAGATGTACATAAGCATTTTCAAAAATAGAAAGAGGTGGGTGGGGCCACTGTGTTTGATTCAGTAAATGTAGCGATATCTCTGCAAATAGAAGAGATAGGAGGTTCTTATTTTAGATTCTAGCTTGTCAATATTGGTAACTTAAGTTCCTAATTCATAAGAAACTACAGACTCTATATTTGGACATTAAAAACATCAATGCTACATTCAACATACCACGTGATACACAAAAATCGAAATGTAGGATTTCTTTTTTAATATTTACTTTTAAATTATGAAATTAACTAATAGATCATACTAAAATTTGAATTATAATCTAAAATTTGATACCACACTTATTGACATTCATAAAATAGTAGTTCAATAAAATTTTGAATATGAGTCAACAAACACGATATGACATGGACTTTCACCCGTGACCTGTAGCGATTGGGTTAAGCTCTTCTATGAATTATTTAAAAAAAAAGTAAACATGAATAACCACAAGTATAAATAAAATGAAAGTGGATGATTACAAGCACATGTTGTTCATAAAGAAGAACACATTAAACTTTTAAAGGAATTTTGTGAAGACACTGATCATCTTAGAATAGTAAATTTTACGATTGTAATATCCAAGCACACATACCAGAATATGTGAAAAAATGCATCATGTATGTTGTTGATTTGTTGAATGCCAATGAAATTAAATTCATAACTACATTTTCTTCTAGAACTACATGGATTAAGATTTTTATAAAAGTAAATGTGTTAATGTTAAGCTGTGGTAAATTACTCTACTTCTACATTGGTAAAGGCACGGGTATTATATTTTAGAATTAATCATAGTATTATGAATTATTTTTCAACTATGATTTGGCCTTGTAAACAAATATAATTTTTACAGCTCTCTCTTGACTAACTCTAGTAAGGTCAATGTGATTTACAGTTTTACTGGAATGCAAATACTATAAACCAAGCAAGTAAAATACACTTACAAAATATAAGTTATCGTAATGTCTTTATCATTAAAATATATACTGACCTGTTCCATTACTTCTGGTGCCATCCAGCATGGTGTACCAACAAAGGTGTGTCGAGACTTTTGACGGGACAGATCACCACCAGTGGCTAACCAGGAACTAACACCAAAATCTGAAAATGAATGTATTAACACATGTGAAAACTTAAATGTAGAAAAATATTCCACAAGCAATTTCATATAAAGTAACACTAATGAAAACATACAATAAAATACAATTTTTCTCAAACTAACTGCAACTATAATATTACAACTAAGTCTTCCAAATAGTAGGGAAATAATATTTGGGGTCCAGGAGGCACTTAATCCATGTAACATTATATGCTGTACAGTTATTGTTTTAAGTAGACATTCTATTTTCCTGTATTAATGAGATTTGTGTCCTTTAAAGCTAGATAAAAAAAATTTTATGAGGTACAACTGATACTCTGTATCTTAAGTTGTGTATTTTCTCAGTAATAACCAGACCCACTGTGGTTGCAGATGAGATAACCTACATTTCAAGTGTTTTAGTCCAAATGTGGATTAACCATATATTGTTTCAATAATGTAAACTGTCACATCTGATTCTAAAAACTTCAAAGTAGTAACCATTAAGATGTAAAACATGTTGTTTCTTTCTTACTTATTGAGAATCCAGAAGCTATGAAATTCTTTAGTTAACTTGATTTGGGTTACATTTCTTGCTTTGACACAAGTTAACAAAAGATCTACTATGAAATACTTAAACAATCTGATCATACCTCAATGGTAATACAGTAATTATGGCAAATTTTATAAGACTTAAAAAAATATTTATTTAGCTATTAAAGCACTATATACCAAAAAAACAGTGCGTGCAATCAGTAGAATCAAGATAACTTGGCAGTGTGTTTTATTTTCTATTTTTTTGCATGTATAATCTTGCTGAAAGCACCATCACTAACAAAGATAAATAATCAACTGTAGACGTACCGAAATTTGGTCAATATGAGCTTTACATTATGGTAAAACATGCTTATTATTAAGCTGTAATCGTTTTTTTTTAACAATACTATGACTTTCAACTTAATTTTACTTTTACTTAATCATACTTTTATTTGAAATACATTATTTTACCAAACAAACTTATCATTGGGTAAACTAATACAAACATGTTTAAAATTATTCATTTAACACTAAGCAGATCATTACAGGAATTTAATTAAACTCCGTCTAATAAGAATTAATCTACTTGTGATACATGGTCTGTATAAATTACTGAATCAATTTCTTAAGTGAATGAACAGAACAGGAACCACCCAGATAGACAGTTGTGGTTTATAGCAGGTGAGAGATTGGTGTCTGAAGGTTTTTCCCCCACTAGTTTAGATGAGGGTGTGTGAAGGACGTTGTCTAAAAAACAAAGAAAACATACAAGGGTTTGACATGGCTTCATTCATAACAAGATGAGGGTCTTATGTTTCACACTTGCTGGATCACCTTAACAAGAACTAAGCAGTGGGGTATCCTGCATGATGAATCCAGCAAATTGCTAAGACAATATTCTGTGCTTCACAAACACAAAATGGGTTGGTGTTCTTTCTTCCTGGAAGAAATAAATGCTGTGCCAATAACACCATCAGCTTCCACATGTAGGAAGAAAAAGATTTCCAAGCATGAGTTCAATGATTTAGTTACTGAGACAAAAGTGCCTTTACTAACCCAATCAGTACTCTTCTTAGGACACACAGATCTTTTGTCTTTGAACTGCTTACCACTGCATAATTGCATTGTGCAATATGTCAAAACTAACATTGCATGAGAACAACAGGCTTAAGTTCTACATACTGCCCAATGATCAGTGTTTTCCTGAACAACATTTAAAAAAATCTTTGATTTATAATTAAGGTTTCGACTTGTAAGATGTAGTAAAACTTCATGGTTTATAGACCAACATATACTTTACCACGTCTTTATCTTTCTTTCAACGTTATTATATTTTAAAACTTGTAAAAGCATTTGTAGATATGGTGTACATAAATCAACTTACTTGAACCAATTAAAAACAAAACAGCAATTCATTTATTTTCAATAACTACAGGTAACAATATCTAATTGTAACAAAATAATAATAGTCTCAGCAATACGTTACATTATACATGTACAACTTTAATAAAAAGATGATAAATCAGCTATATTTCTCTCTTCATAGCAATCAACTAGAGAAACTCATTTTGTTAATATTTATTGTCTACTTGAACATTGTAAACAACATTCTCATGTGTAGATTGTCATTTTAACTTGTCATAAGGATTATAACTATTAAAAATCTAAGAGAATAATAGAATACTAATCAAAGGATCAAGAAAAAGACAGTTTATCAGAATAATTTTATAAACATTTTTGTAGTTGGTGTTTCTTTTACAAGCATTAAAAGTTTTTGAGTATATTATTTATTTTATAATACATATTTAAAGCATTGTTCTTACTTTCATCATTATACATCATTTTAGAAAAAATGCATGAACTTTCTTAATAGCTGCACTAAGTGAATGACAGAGATACTCACGATTAATAAAAAAATCACATATTCCTTCAAAATTACCTTGAAAAGATAGCCATGTAAAGAAGAATGAATACCTATATAAGAGCTAAGAGTAAGTACCAGAACTTGGAGTAAAAAAAACTAATGAAGTTAAAGTAACAAAACAGAGGTGCCAAAGCAAGCTAATATATGGTAGAGGGAAATGTTTCTCTACATTCTCCTTTAGCTTATTAATATGGAAAAAATATATAATAAAAAGAACAAAGGATTGGTGAGAACAAAAACTTTAATGAATATTTAAGCATTTTAATAAAATTTAAAACTAAACTTAGTAAATTAAGTTTAATTAAAAATGTTAAACAGCAGAAAGTTTTATTTATTTGGCTTTAAGTCAGAAAATCTGACACAAAATCATCTGTGAACTGCATGTCACAGATCAAAATATAGTCAGAAAACAGATAAAATTAGATAAAGACCAATTATTTATTAGAAAGTAAGAAATTAAGCCATATCAGTAGTGGTAAAATTGAAGCCCCAGTGTTAATAATTAGGTTTTATTCATTTTTAACATTAGTAAGAAATAAGCTTTGTAAGTGTTTTCTTAATATCTTATCTTTTTAAATGTCTTGAAAAACTGAAAATTAAAATCACCTTTAACTAGGTCACACAGAAATGCTACATTTGACCTGAATTTTTCTTTATTCAAAGATAAAAAATTTGGTCATTGTTTTGAAGTTGGTTTTATCATGGAAACATAAAACAGGGTGCAGAAAATACCTTAACTATATTGAGGTATAACTTAATAGAACATGTAGAAGTGCAAGATGCCGTCCCAAATTCACTGAAAAGAGCTATTCAAAAGCAAAACAAAAAGGCTTACTATGTAGTAAATCTATCTGAATCAAGTATATCAGATTGTCTGGTCCACCTTTTGCAAATACTAGAATTTTCTTTTAATTTGATATACCAACATGTTTTTTCATTTCCATGAGTCTGTCATGTTAGTACAGAAGTAACTAGTCCTATATTTATGATTATTGCAAAATTATACTTATATATGTATGCATGCATGTTTTAAAAATAAAATGGGTCATAAAAAACTTACCAGCTATTTGAACAGACCCATCACTACCTAACAATATATTTCCAGCTTTGATATCCCTGAAAGCAAAATATTACATTTTTAAGAACAATATATATATATTACTATTCTGGTACATTACATATAGATTAGTGCTACTATAACAATCTGAGCCATTAAACAGAAATATTCTAAATACTAACGGTGCATTGATTAGAAATTAAGTATGTGTTCATACCTTTATCAAAGATGGTAAAATAATATTCTACAAGTTTGTTACAAACAATAAGAGATTCTTCTTTACAATCTGGTCATTGTTATTAAATTTATTTATAAATTTTAAAATGTTCAAACCCAAATAATAGCAAAGATGCCATTATAAGTATAAAATAATTTTGTAGAGGCTGAAATATAATAAAGGAATTACAGTGTAGACTTTTAATTTTCCCAGAAAAGAAACAAAGTTTCACACAAAAAAAAGGTAAGTTTTTTCTTATTCCTTTTTATCCCTCTCTCTTTCTTTCTTGATCTTCTTTTTTTTGAAGTTTGTTTAGATTTAAAAATTTTGGAATGTCCAGAAAATTGTTTTCATTTTGTTAACTTGCACTAGACAAACAAATACTTTGGATTTTTTTAGGACAGTTAAATATTAAGCCATTTGTGAACTACAATCCACTTCTCATATTAGCTCTGTGTTAGTAGCTATAAAACTTTACATACAACATTAACAGGACTCCAGACAAAGTTTTCCCCCTAAGAAGCACAACCAACAACTAGATTTAGAGTAAGGTGATTGCTTCTATGTTCAACTGCTTAAAATATAAGAAAATTGTTATAACACTAAAATGATACTAAACAGAAACTTAATGTTCATACTCACTTGTTTGCTGCCTAACACTGACTTAACTAATAACAGCTTTGCTTCAGACACAAACAAAACAGTTTCAAATCAGATTACACAAAAGGCAGAAGCTATGAAAATCACCTGGAAAATTATTATTTTTTGCATGTTCTGTAAACAGTACGTTAATGTAGATTTTGGGTCTGTTGTTCATTAATGTATCCACCTTGCACATATTCCCTCCCTCCCTTCTCCCATCAACTCATGTTAAGTCTGCAAGACTGTGTATTGGCTTTGAAATATATGGATGTAAAGCAAGTAGTATATTTTGCATCTAACTGTACTTCAAAACTGTTTATTGTGAAGACTTGAATAAAAACTCAGAAACACATAAAAGGTATGAAAAAAGTATCCATTCTCACAACAGCATTATTTATTACCTTATCAAAAACTGGAGAAACACTGGTAGTGTCAAATAGAACACAACAAACAAAGCAGTTACGTCACTGAATGCATTCCAAAAAGATTTTACTCGAGAACATATTCAGCACAAATGGGCAACAAACACTTTCAACACAGGTTATAAGGTTGTCATAATTTTCATGACCAAAACTTGCAAAATTATTTCAGGTCATATTGTTGTTTTTTGTATTTTATTGCATCTCAGTTCATTCATTCCTATTTTCATATAGCGAAGCCTAGTACTACGACTGATGTATTGGTCATCTTCACTTCTGCTGTACAAGTAAACTGGCATATTACAGTGATCTTATTTTCTCTTTAATACTCTAAGTTAATTCATTTGAATTCAGTCAGACCAACTTTGTAGGTTGAAAGTCATTACGTGAACTTTGTGGCCAGCAATGACATCATAACATATTTATACATATCGACACATGGAAAATAGTAAAAATTAAAAAAAAGGAAGATCATGGACTTGCTTGTTGTTGTTGTTATCAGATGTACTTTTAAAAGGAGAGGGGAATTTTTGTTGGGTTAGGCACAACAGTGCTTAATCTAAAAACATTAGTTGTCCAAACAATTTTCAAGTTGCATTGGAGTTGCAGTCTGGAGTCCTTTTTAATCTTGTATTACTTTAATTTTTTATACAGTTTACAATTAAAATACAACACTGGCATAACAATTTAAGAGATTCAATGCTCTCTCACCTGTGAATCTGCCCATTGTTGTGGAAATATTCCAAACCTTTCAAAACCTCTTTCAAAACAGTTGCTATTGTAGCTTCATCAAATACACCATGCTTACAATCTTCAGTCTTCATTTTGTGTTTGATTATATCCAGTAATGAACCTTAAAAAATAATTGAGGATTTAAATTAAAAATGCATTATTCACTTTCTTCAGATTTCCTCATAGTTCTAGCATTTAATTTCTATATATTCGACTCATTTTGGTACTGTATATAAATTAATTGCAAAATGAAAAGAAGATCTGTTAAGCTAAAAATTGTATCCAACTAAAAATTAGGTGAAGTATATCTTCCCTCATAAATATCTATCAAACCTTTTTTTCTAAATGTAAGCCTTCTTTAAAATATTGATGAAATACCACTTATACAGGACCAATGCATTCTCATCATTCTAAGTTTCTGCTTTAAGGCATTGCATCTTCCTAGTTAGACCAGTTCAGGATGCTAGAAAAAACATGCATTCTCATCATTCTAAGTTTTTGTTTTAAGACATTGCATCTTCCTAGTTAGACCAGTTCAGGATGCTAGAAAAACATGCATTCTCATCATTCTAAGTTTTTGTTTTAAGACACTGCATCCTCCTAGTTAGACAAGTTCAGGATGCTAGAAAAAACATACATTCTCATCATTCTAAGTTTTTGTTTTAAGACACTGCATCCTCCTAGTTAGACCGGTTCAGAGTGCTAGAAAAAACATGTATTCTCATCATTCTAAGTTTTTGTTTTAAGACACTGCATCCTCCTAGTTAGACCAGATCAGGTTGTTGGAAAAAAACATATTTTAAAAAAATCAGTTGAAAGATGGACCTTTCCTCATTACGGGCAATTGCTCCTGATGAAGAAAGGCTTATCTTTCAAAAACACTTAGACTATAAGATTTCATATTTTTGTCTTAGTTAGACCAGTATAAGATATTAACTATACTAATTACAGAAGCTTTTGATAATTACTTACACATGAATATAACAATCCAACATTTTTGTTTTTTAAATTTCTGAATTCTTTCAAGATTTGAGAAAACTAAGGAAAGTTCTATTTAGAAAAGTTACTGTTTTTTCCCTCTAAAAGTAATTTTAAAGTAGAAAAGTTTTTTATTCATTATCTGTATTATATGAAAATAAGCAAAATATTTTTATTTTTGTTAAAAGTGTAAGTTTCAGATTTAAAATTACATATATATCTTCAAAAAGCTTTTTAACTTGAAATAAACCAAAATAATAATGTTTATTTTTTGTTTTTTTACAGTTGAGAAATATCAACAGAATAGCAAGACACTGAAATACCTTTATGACAATAATAAATTTTGTCTGTACATAAATGTAACTCTGAACATGAATATTAAATTTCTAGTAAGTAAATTTATATAAAAATCAATGGATGAAATTATTCTGACACTTGTTGTCCTACAGAGTAACTTACACAAACCAATATAAAGTAAAGGCACATGTGGAAAGGCATGCATTATTGAACAACTAACAAAGACCCGCAAAACATTTGTAGCCAAATTAGTATCTTTATTGCAACAGTACTTCTTTAAATACAGGATTTCTAGAGTAATATAAAAAAAATTCTGATTGCAGATACTGAGATCTATAAGTCCACTTGTCTTAGTCCTAACATCAGTTAAGCTCTCATTAAGTATGGCCTGTATTCGATAAAGAGATAAATTTACACTGTAACTTGTGTACGTTTTGCTTTAGTTGAGTTAGGGCTAAACCTTACCAAACTTAACACTATCAATAAATAATCTTCTAACATTATTGTACAACCTAATGTTAGACCTTTTTAAAACTTTGATAAGCTTTTAATATGTTGTATAAAATGTCTACTAAAGCATATTTACTTCCTTTCTGGCATAACTCGATGATTTAACATAAATACATTTTCAAGCTTCAAAAAAGGTACAATTTTTTTGTACATTTTAGTCCAAATATATCTTTAATTTTTGATCAATCGTAGACTACTTGCTTCTAATTGCAGGAAGTCAAACTACTTAACTTACGAAATAAGTTGCTATGATAACATTGCATGACCAAGAGAGAGACAAGACAGACAGATACACACAGTATTAGATGCACAATGTGAACTGAAAATTTTAAATACACACTTTAACACAGCAACAGCCTATTCTGGTAAAATATAAACAGTAATAGATATATGACTTTTAAAAAAGCCAAATACCTAAAAGCTTTAATTATTTCTCAATATTATGCTATTTTTTCTGTTGGCATTGTACTAGATATGATTCACAAGGGATGATACTTCAATTTTTAAACATCAAAAAACAACAAAATCATAACATTTTTAATCATCTTTGGTATTTATCATAAGTATATTTTTCAGCACAGAAAGTAACTATTGAAAAGATGTTGGACACAGTTTAAAATTTAAGTAATTACTTTGGGCTAAAAAATCAATCTTACATTATAAATCTGTGACAAAATGTTAGATTTTTATTCACTCTATTTAAGAGTAAAATGTTTCTGCAATTAAGCAACCCATTCTATTTCTATATTGTGAACTATGTGTACGTGCAGGTAACAAGTGAAATATCTAATATACGAGTGCTGAAAGCAACAAAGGACAACATAAGAGAGAGAAAAAAAAATTATATATACATATTGAACTGATCAAAGGTAATTGATTAAGTAGAGAAAAAACTTAAACAGATGATAATGTTGGTTATTTATCTCAGCATTTCAGGCCAAAGATCTTCTTTGTGAAACAACAAATGCCATTTCCTGAAGAAAAGCTTAGGCCCAAAACTTTGAATAAATCATTTGTTAAAAGAAACAATAAAATCTACCTCTGCTACTCTAAGAAACGTTCACTTTTATCATCTCATGCTTCACTCTACAGTAACTACAGGAATATAACAAGTTAAAAAAAAACGAATAATACAGGCGTTAGAGCTAGAGCTAAGTTAAGATGTTAAAAGCAGATGTTACCCGAAATTGTTGTTTATTTTAATTATCATCTATATCTGTATTTTAGTCAGCACTTCACTTATAACCATTTGCCATTAATTTTCATCTTATACATTTTATTATTGTCTAATACATGAGGCCAGTCTAGAAAAAGGGGCTGATGGATCTGGTTTTGAATTAAAACACATACCTCCAGCTAATAGTTTCATCACCAACCACAGTTCTTCCTTTACAACAAATGAAGTGTAATATCTCACTACATTTTCATGATGGCATGCACTCATTGCTTGGATTTCTTTCTGAAAGAAAAACAGACATCTATATTTCTAAAAAAATTACTTCCAATTTAAGATACATTCTAAAATGATGCTAAGTAAAGAAAAAGGATAGTTACATATAAATAAATTAAAAATACATATACTTAGAATATCTAATACATTTATTACCTTTATCTAAGGTAACTGCATCTGAAGTACAAAAGTGTAAAAGCATCTATATTTATGCTTTAAAATGCACATGGTAATGTAATTTATACAAGTATAATAAAATTTTTATTTTATTTTATAAAAACAAGTTGGGATCGATATATATATATATATATATAACCTAGCTAGCTTTAGTAATATAGAAAGTTTTAATGATACAAAAAGTATTGAAACAAAAAAGTCAAAACTACAAAAACTTAGTTAACTTAAAATAAAAATTTTTTTATCTCTACTTTGTCAAATCACTGTAATTATGTTAGCATGAGCCAAAGTAGGATAATTTGTTTTTTTAATTTTTAAGTAACTCAGTTTTGTAGTTTTGACTTTCTTGTTTCAATAAGTACTTAATGATATATATATGTATGTATGTATACACACACACACACACATAAATGTGTGTACTATAAAATAAAATAAAGAAATAGTTTGTATTTTAAGTATATAATGACAAATTGATAGAAATCTCAACCTACACTTATATGTCAAATTTAGACCATTGTACTGAAATTCAGTTACTAATGCGATATTTATGATACCATCCTAGGAAACAATTTTTAGAGCTTAATGATTTGACATATATCATTTGAGTAATTTTTCCAAAATCAAATCTTAAGTAACAAATTTTGGAACATAACATCACCTTTGTCTCTGGGTATACATTAATTAAGTCAGAAACAGTATTCAACCAGATTGATGACAGAAATACTGATGCAGAAAATCTTAGACAATACAACTTAAAAAGACTTCATATTATAAGGTATACTCATTAATTCATAATAAACAACATTAGCAACTGACTCTAAGTCATTTCAAACTGAAAGTTTACAGAGGTACTGAACGATAAGAATTTAACAATTAAAACTTTTTCACGAGTTAACTGTAGATTTTAACCATCAGAAACCATAATTAAGTTTGCAAAATGAGTATAAAATTGTAGATTTGATGTTTGATTGCCATGTTTTCTAAACAAATATTCTATATCTTATGAGCTCTGTAAAAATCACCAAATAATTACAATCAAATGTTTCATTATGGAAATATCTAAAATCACATTAAAAAAATCAGAGAAGAAAAATTTTAGTTGTAGCAAGAGAGCATTGTGCAATAAGAAATTATCATAAGGAGCTATAGTTGGGGTCTACTTACAACTTTTCTGACCAACAATCATTACATCTCTGACAGCTTTTAAGTATAAGTTATAAAAACTATGATATCAGTTACAAGTACACAGCAACACATCACATTGAAATAGAGAGTTGTAACTGAAAACTGAATACTTTGATGGATACTTTTATCCTTTGGTACACTGTGTATTCAACATTGTCATGCAATTAATATATGGAGTTCACTCTTGAATTTCTGTAGTAATATCTGTACAAAAGCCATCTATTTCAATACTTACCAGGTAGAAGAAAAGTAACTGACTATAAATACTTCTAAGAGGCAAAACTGGAAATTAAAGTCAAATGATTATGTGAACAAAATAAAGTCTTTACATCATACACTGTTGCCTTGTCCATAATCAATCATACACTGTTGCCTTGTCCATAATGATAAAACTCATACTGACTATGCATTTGGCTTAATAAATTGTTTTCTTTAATATCAGAAGACAATGTACATTTTTTCAATCTAATACCAAATTGTTCCAATAAACATAGAAATATACTTTTTTGTACAGTACAGCCATAAGTATGTATAAATAGTAGTATAATTTTGGCATGTGAAACATACCAGATGTTACTTTTCTTTTCTAGTATACACAAGTGAACATTTCATTTTTATTTCAAGTTTTCAAATTTGTTCATACATGTGTGTTTGGACATGCACAAGGGAGAATTTGCTTGCAGGTATTCTAGCTAGCTACTGTTACAGGTCAATCCCCTTATGTTGTTGCACTCTCATTCATAAAAATGTCAATGGTTTAAAATTATGTAGTACTATGCTAATGTTCACAATGTAGAAGTCTGATAGCACCTGAAGGCACTATTCTCCATCTTATTTATTTACACTTATGGAATGACCAAAAGTAACGTGAATAGCAAGTGCTCTGGGATAAATTATGTTTTTGTGTCTTGTATACAGATAATATTGTCTTTCAGTCAGAGTCAGAATTCCTTCAAGTTTAATTGGTCAGATATGTTTGGAACACTGAGAGCTCTCACAGTGCATAACAGTGTGTGTCTGCACTCATTAACTCTGGTTTATTTTGAATACAAATAAAAGTTATTTTGAACTTTGTTTTATACTATGTTTCATCACTTTTTTAAACTCAGTGAAAAATTGTTAAATTTCATGATATATTTCTAGCCATTCTTCCTGTTATTTACTGTTACTATTCTTGCCTGTATGGTAAATCAGTGCACTTGAGAATAACAAAGAATTACATATCTTACAGTCTGTATGTAGTTGCAGGCTTCATGAAATATCTTTCCAGTTTCTTGTCACAATTGTTTCATCCTAAAATCCTTTTAATGCTTATAGTTCCATTACAAGTAAGTAAATAATACTATTATGAGCATTTATTTTAAAGAGTGAACTTAATTATTTTTGTTTTAAAATCTTTATAGACAATTGCAACATGTTTGGTGTGTCTTTTTAACAAATACACAAATTTTCATTGTGCTGAAATAATTTAAGAGCAGTAATTTAAATGTATCAACATCAGTGTTTTCCAACAATCTTGAAAAAAAATCTGATGTAAATGTCATCCACACAATACATAATTGTGCTGAAACTGTAACATATTTAAAATGTTTGCTACGTAAGTAATAAGTAAATATATTTACCACCAACTCATCCATACTGGTATTCCATTTCTCAAGGTTAATTCGTTTTATGGCACATTCTTCAGTACGTGGTATGCAAACAGCTTTATGGACAATTGCTGTCGCTCCCATACCTAAATAAGGTAATTTTTTGTATTTTCAGATCTTTAGCATAGATAATAAACAATCATCCAACAGTATCATCTGATGCCAAAAACAATACAAGAGAACAAAGCTGAATGAAGGATGCATTGAAAATACACCCAAGATGTAAAATATGAGAACTGACTTCAATAAGATATAATTCTAAGAACTTGTAGCTGAAAACAAAGAAACAAAAATGTAATAATATGTCAATCACAGTATATATGCCATATCCAGTACCCACGAGACCTTTCGCCCAATACGAAGGCTCATAAGGCCAGATAGGATACAACAAACATGGTAGTGATTGAGACTGCTTGTATCCTCAATTGCATGAAAAACAACTGTAATAATGTGAACTATATTAAGTTGGTGAAGTGTAATTATTATAATCAGTTTTATTAGAGTAATTTACAAATCAGAATTAGGGTAAGGATTAATAACATAATATTATATATTTTTAACACCTATTATTGTTTATTTTTTATTATAATTATTTCAACTTGATTTAACTTGTTATGTTGTGCAGTCCTTTAACAAGCCAGCAAAGAATAATTACAATTTTTCTTGTCATAAGACATTAGATTAAGAATGTAGTATTTAAAAATGTAATAAGCCTAGTACTAATGTCTTATAACAAGTAAAATTGTAATAATTCTTTGCCAACTTGTAAAAGGTGTACACATCCTAACAACTATTTTAGTCACAAATGGCTTATATAAATCATGTTCCAACCTCTACTGTGTTTGTTGTATCCCAGCTGACCTAAAGAGCTCTGGAGTGAGCAACACACGTCATTGGTAATGGATATGACAAATATAGTATGGTTGGAATACTATTATTATATACTCTTCTAATTCTTGAAAGTCCCTAAGGGACTAGATTAAGAATGGAGTGTTTAAAAATGACATACTAATGTCTTATGACAAGTAAAATTTGGATTATCTTTCACCTTCATTGAGATAAATGTAAAGTTCTTCCTTAAAATAAATTGGATTTTACTTACAGTAAAAAATAAAAATCTAAAATATACTTTCCTGGTAGAAATCTTCAAGCATTCAAGTATAAGCAGATCAGAGAGAAAATTTCACAAATCTGAACCTCAACAAATTACTAGATTCTACTGCTATGAAGTGGTGAATGACTGCCAAATCATTCAGTTTTCATAAAGCAAGTAGGCATACAACATATTCTAGTTGAACACATTTTTTAAAGACCTTACCCTAATTAACTGAATTCAATCCAACCAATCACAATGAGTTTAAGTTAGTCCTTACTGTAAGATAGTTATTCCAACAACAGATTTAAATTAGGTCTTTATATGAAAGAAGTTAAAAGTCAACAACTTTAAAAGCAGGATGTAAGTATAATAAAGTCACTGAAAAATTTAAAGACATTATAAATGTCTTCTATCCTCCAGTGCTTAAAATTTGCCCATTAAATGTAAGAATTCTCAAAAGGAAACATACCAAATGGTAATGAAGCATCTCTAAACGTTTCCTCTAATGTATCAAAAAGACAAGTATTTTATTCAGTCTTTAGCCTATTCCTTTAAACAATGTTAACCCAATGTCTTCATCAAAAAAGCAAACATATTTATGAGTTTCAGTGCTGATAGCTGGCAAAACATTATGGAAGACATAAGCTAGATCTGAAATGCTACTTTTATTTTATTTAAATTTATCTGATTTAAAATCCATGATGAACAAATTAGGAGGAATGCAATAAAAATGAAACAAGCATTGTCTAGTGTGATTTTGTTCACAAATATTAAAACTTTAGTTAAAATACTACAGATGAAAACTTTGTATAATGTTAAAATTATCTAAAGGAAGACACTTCCTTTTTGATGTACACTTAATACATTGTGCAAGGATAGAATTTGTGTGTATTGGCTTTCACAGGTACACAGGTATTAAGAAGTCCGGCAAAACATGTGAAATGGAGCACTTGTTATTTATTACTGTGTTTTTTCATTAGAATGAATCCTTCTATATGCAGGAAATTGAAAGCTAATATAGTAAATGACAAATTGTGAAAGATATACTAATAGTGCAAACCTTTAAGGTAGTACCTTTTCAGATTCACATACAAAACTTAAAAGTTTTAAACTTTTTTCCAGTTTTATTTTAAGTAAGAATATTGTCATTTTATATGCATCTGAACTAAGACTGACATTAATAATTGGATTAATTAAGTAACTGGAACCCATTTTACATGATCAATAATGTAGTAAATTAAAAATATATATAAGGATATAAATGATGAAATACAGAAACATTTCCCGGTTGATGTTTCAAATTGACATGTGCTGTCACTGAGAAGTTACTACCAATGATAATGTCAAATGTCTATCAATTAGTACTGTCATCATTATCTAGGCCACATACAGGCAGTTTTAATCCAGCAAGAAGTTCCTGGTAAACTGAACTATTTTCATTTTGAACAGTTACCTATTCTCTACTTAATACATTGTTCCACAGCAGATGGATGTCATTGCTTACTGTACTTTATTTAGTGACTCTGACTTAGAGTTCTACAGTTGTATGTTTTGTTAACCATAGTTACCAAGATGGCTTTTTCTGAAAAATGTTGATTTAGAGAACTTTTTTCAGGTTTATTTATAATTTTTCATGCTAGTTTACTTTTTATCCTTCATGTCAAGTAAAAGTAATTCTTGTGAACACACTGAACTTTGAAGGATTTATTTCTGACTCTTCATCAAGTTGATACTACAAATGAAAATAGAAATCTCTTAAGAGACTTGAGCTTTTATGTTACACTTTATAAATACAAGCTGTCTACATTTTTAAGGTACATACAAGTTGGATGGTTTATTTGCTGTTTGGATTTTGTGATACTGGTTTTATTCTAAAATGCAATAAAGCTGGTATTTATGACTCATCCCTTGAAATAAACTTACTAGAGATACTGATAAAATCTTGGTTAATGACAATGTCATTACAAATAAATTTAACTAGAACTAGGGGACCCAAATATAAATTTTGGAAGTGTAGGAAAAATATCTGGCTAAAACAGGTTTATTTTTCTAATAGGGTGGTTGGCTTTTGGAATCCTATGCCTTAAGACATGATAGATAAAGTAAATTTAAGGGAATGTTTGATAAATATTTGAATGATAATGGTTGGCTTTGAGTTTTAGAGTTTAATTTAGTAAATGGGATGGCCTAGATGAACCAACAGGACCTTGTTGTCCTTAAGTTCTAGAGTATTGCCTGTGAGAAATGCTGGGAAACAACCAGCTTGTACTCAATGTTTGACGATGGCCACTTGTGCTAGAGAAGATTGCTCTTGACATCACTGAAATGGACGGATTCAAATGAAGAATGCTACACCTGTATTATATTGTGACTAATACTGCAATACATGTGCAGAGCCATCTGTGTCTACATGTACACTTGTAATTTTTGTATATCAGTCCTGAAGAAAGAATCTCCACAGTATAACTTTTACATTCATCTTGGTTTAGCTGAAATTTATTGTTAATGTTTTGAACTAAAGTTTTACATGTATTTGCACTATTTGAACTTCTATTACTTAGAAGTAATTACAATTGAGTTATGGATTCATTGAGAAATTGTTTCCTTGGTTTTATATTTCTAACAATTTATTATTTTCATCAGAAGAGAATTTGTCACAATACATTTACAGCCCACATCAAATGTATACTAGCACATCATTAAAAAATACATACCTATAACTTCTCCTAACTTGTAAGAATCATATTCAATTGGCCATGCTGAAGTGTTAGATGCAAATACTTCTGACATCTTGTGTTCAGGGTGCTTACTTCTATAAAAAGCTTCTCCGTACTTCTATCAGAGTTGTGGCACCGATTTGCAACAGGTAGGTCCCTGGGGACCCAGGAATGATCACTCCCTCTTTACTTGGTAGTTCTTTTGATGCTTTACTACATAAATAAATAATTAAAACTCAAAAACAAGACTAGTGATTTCTCACATATTTCAAATAATTATGGCATGTATAACTATTTGTGTTTTTAAATGAAACACTTCATTCTTTAAAACATCTATTAAAATACTTTTTATCTCTTATTTTTACAAACTATACAAAGAAACAAATATATAGGGTTGAGTATGCTATATTAAATTGGTTTTGGAGCCTCAACTTGGGAAGAGTAAGTAACAGCACGTTTTGGCACAAAATATCTCATAAATTCAGATGATAAAGATGCTTTCAGGTAAGGGATTTAGAATTTACAAGATGGGATATTCCTAATACTTAATGTCATTGAAAAACAGGAATCAAATCAGGGCATCTGGACCATCCAGAATGAGATACAACAAGTCGGACCCCAGCCATGATAAGCATAGTACAACAGCTTCTTGTAACAGGTGAGAATGTATAAAAACAAATGTCAGTGTCAATAGCAGTCCACATTTCTCAGACAACGATACTCAACATAATCAAGAAGGATCTCCATCTGGAAGTGATACGAACAGAGTATTTGTTCAACTGTTGTACACTCGGAGAATGAAATGGATATTCATGACATTTCTTGTGAAAATATACTGGTCAAATTGTCAGATGCAGTACCTGTGAATTTTTGTATGATGAAACTCTTGAAACGAGTGCTGGGAAACTGTTATTTTCATACACTAGATAGATTGTAGAAACTATACAGGGAGGTGTAATGTACATTGGACATTACAGCCTTTGAAAGTGGAAACTACACTGCAGGGCTATTGTCAGTATGCACGGTCAGCAAATAAACCATGACCGGATGTGGCAACATGAACCGTAATGACATAGGTGAAATCATTTTTGGTGCCCTCAAACTAATTACAAAATGTCAGAAAATGTAAAATTATAGATATGATACATTTATTCCCCCACTTCCAATTTTTATTGTCATTAAAACGAGTCAGAAGAACATAAATGTGTATATCACAAACCAATCAACAATAAAACTTTGTACATTCATCTAATATCATGGGACTATTGATTTATATCATACACTGCAGGTTAAATTTAGGGAAAATGACTGCTCAAAATGCAAGTAGGAAACTTGTAAGTTATTGTTATGTAATAAGTGTGTACTGATATGATATGTCATGTAATGATTATGTACCAGCAGATTCCTACATCTGAAAGAAAATATAATGCTAGCATAATTCTTCCTAAAATGTATGTCACTCATTTGTGATATACATTTAAATAATTTATGAAAATACAAAAGTAGGTTTTATAAACATCACCAATAACCCACAATAGCAACAAAATACTAAAAGCAATACCTATATGAGAGATAACATGAAAACTAAGATGTCTGCACCTCTTAATATTTTCCATGTTTTCATATTATGTTTCATGATTACACATGGCACTTAAAATTATACGTAACATTACATGTTTGGCAATTAAGCACAGTGATAACAAATCTTATTAACTATAGAATATAAGAGACCTCCCTCTTCCTATCTAGCCATGCAACTGTAATGCAGTAAAAACATTAAGAAGCTTATCAAATCAAATCTTCTCTCTCTTTACAAACACTTCAAACCTGAATTCTGTTGAAAATGCTTCTTTTGTAATGTATAGTCATCACAGACCACACGTAAATTTTCAAGAAAGTAACAGTACCACAGAATTTAAAAAATATTAAATCCCTTTTTACCACTTGTTAACTTTTAGAAAAGAAAAAATCTTAACAAGGTGTAAGTTGCCTGTATGATTACTAGGAAAACAAAAGAATCTTAACAAGGTGTAAGTTGCCTGTATGATTACTAGGAAAATAAAAGAATCTTAATGAGGTGTAAGTTGCCTGTATGATTACTGGGAAAACAAAAGTAGAATAAAATGACAACTGAAACTGACTTGTTTCATGAACGAAGGATAACTAAAATGTTGGAACAGTAAATAATCATTCACCTTTACTTTTCAACACTTACAAAGTAAATAATTGTAAAATCAGTATAAAAAAATTACTACAATGGTTAACCTCAAAGTAAAATGCCAGTTTATAATGAACATTCCTACAAAATATGGACTGAATGGACTCACACATGATGGATTCTATGCAACATACATTGCCAGCCTATTGAAGTTACTGTATATCTGAAGATTAATGTTAAACACACGGTTGAGCTCATTTAAAGCATTATACGTACTACAGGGTCGGCCAAAAGTCTAGGCAACCCCTTATTTAAAGCTCATTAACAATTTGTTTTTGTTTTTTTAGATGTTAGTAATGATTGTGGTAAAGGAATGATATGAAATAACTGATGCTTTGCAACAAAAAATTGTTGAAAGTTTTGCTAAGGTCAACCCTAATATGTTAAGGAGGATGTCATGCTGCACATGGAGACATATCATCCTACGTCATGAAAACGAAGGTCAACAGACAGACATTTTGGATTATTAATCGAACCTTTTGTTAGTCTGTGTCAATGCGATATATGTAAATATGTCAACATGCAATAAATTATTTCTTTCATTTACATTATCTTTATTTGAGGGGGGAGGGAGTGTGCCTAGTCCCTGTACAATGCCAAAAAATGGAATGTACAAGATATATGTTTACTACTGTGCATTTCATAGTTTTATAAAATGTCATAAAACTATCTAATATTTTCAACATTTTTTATTTTCTTGAACAAGTGTAGGAGATATTTAGAACTAGTGATTTGATCTAAATAAAAACTAGGAATAAGGTACATATATGTACACTGTAAATGCAACTTTCAGCTTGATTGCAAGAACCAAGTCTACAATGTATTTTCATATTTCTCCCTTTATGTAGGAGTAACGAAGTAGAATAACAACATGTATCGTAGGTTTTAAGAATAGGTAGCATTCCTGTGAACCTCTCTGTAAGCTTACTTAACCTGTAAATGTGAATCAGAAATGAAGAATATGACAGATGATTTGTATCCCTAACAGAATTTTAAAATACTGCAATGTTACCCAGAAATTATCCCATCTGTATAAGTTGTTTTATTTTATACTGCATGAATTACAAACGATACATTTTTAAGGAACCAAGTTGATATTCACAAATATTCTATACAATGTTCCTGATAAATAAATTAGTTTGACCTGTCTTTATTAAATTTGCACTTTTGAATGATGCTAAGATTATATGATTGAGATTAGCAGGAAAGCCCACAGGTAAACAGTGCTTAACAATTTAACATCAGTTGGTTATAGGACTTGTTATTTTACTGTTCAAAATTATCCAAGTATTAACATATTGTAAAATTGGGAATAAAAGAATAATTGTTTTACATTAATCATCTGCCTCAAAAACTAATTCAGAAATGTACGAATTAGCTTAGGAAATTAAATGGCATTTTTTCAACATTTCTGTTTTAAATGATAATTATATTCTAAAGTATCAGCGATACAGAGATATCTAGAAAGAGAAAGGAACCAACTGTGTGCACTTTGATGACATACACAGTGAAAGCTAAATAAGTTTGAGGATTATGAAAATGATCATTTAAATACATATCTGTGATTTGGGGCCCTGCATTTTATTTCGTAAGTATTACAGTTCAACTCCAATATATAAAAGTCAACATGAAAAGAGCTACAAGAAAGCCTGCATAAAAACCAAGTTCATCAAACCCAAATTAAAAAATTGTGAAATGTTTTAAAATTTACTGAATTCCCTAAACAAGCTACTGTAAAGTGTACCTCACATAGAGAGCCAACTCCTTCACATCTACTGTACTATTACAAGAGACACTACAAAATTGCTCATTCTGTCAAGCCAAAATAATAAGAACACATATCTGTGTATTATGGAGAAAAAATAGAAAACTCATATTAAACCTGCATTTAACAGAAATATGTCTTCAAGAGTTTCACACCTTAAGTATACTACTTGAGCAACCCTTATCTCTACTACTTTAATAGATAACATACAAATTCCTGTATGATATACACTATCGTACAATGTACACAACATGCTGAAAATATTAGATAGTTTTATGACATTTTATAAAACTATGAAATGCACAGTAGTAGTAAACATATATCTTGTAAATTCCACTTTTTGGCATTGTACAGGGTCTAGGCACACTCCCTCCCCCCTCAAATAAAGATAATGTACATGAAGGTGACACATGATAAAGTATGGTTATGAACCATTAACTGTAGGAGAATTAAAAGATATTTATGACAAGGAAAAGTGGGAGTGGCAGTAGAGATTTTTTCTTTAATTTCTTATAACAAGAAGTGTGTAATCATAATAAAGTAACCATTCTCAGATTATGAAAGTGAAAAATATAAAACATTTCAGGTTTATACAAACCAAGCAGGCACCTTGTGTTACTTCTTATTTGCAATTTCTACTGTGTATTACAAAAACATCACTTTCAACCTTTCTACATTGCAAAAAGGACAGATAATCAATATACTTAAATACTAGACATCTTAAAGCACCACTTATAATATCTTCACAAATATTCATGTAACAAAACTAAACACACATACTCATCAGTTAATCTAGTCTGGATTGGCTGCTTTGGTGAATGAAATTATGAACTTCATGAGTTGAGTCATTTCACATAACTTTACTTTTATAATAGATCTGATTATGCTTAACTAACTACAAGCACCTCTATATTGAAATTTTAAGGACCTGTGGTCCCTCTAGGCCATCACATCCATTAAACTGCTTTTTATTATCATTATTAAAGCCAGCACTATGTTCAAATATTTATCAAGTCTTTCCTTAAACTCTCTTTAATATACTGCATCCACCACATCTGAAGGCAACTCATTCCAAAGGCTAACCACCCTTGTTGTGACACCCTAAGCTGTTCACATTCTAGACAATGTGCATAAGATAAAAGTATTAATAACACCAGCATCCCCTTGGCTAACTCATTTTATGCAATCAAAAGATATTTTAATAGTCATAACATAAGAGTAATCTGCACG